TCTGTTAACTTAAATTTAGTCTTTTTTCTTTTTTCTGTGTGTTTTGTCCCAGAAAATTCCTGTGGTGTTCATTTTGGTCTTGTTCATTGATGTTTTCATTATCTATTCTGAATTAGACCAGGTGGTATCTTTTTAAACTCAGAATTATAAATTTCATCTCCACGATTATCTCTTTATATGTTTCTTAGCTCTTTAACACGTTCCATCTTTTCTCTAGTTTTTTGAACAGTTAGGGTAACTTTGTAACTTAGTCTTAATGTCTTGCTGTGTGACTTTGGGTCTGTTTTAGGTTGGCGCTTTTACTTAGTATCAGGTTGTTTTTACTTACTCAGCATCAGGCGGTGTTCTGTGTCTTCTCATGCTTGGGAACTTTTGTTGACGCCAGACACTGTGCATTTTACTTTGTTGGGGGTGGATACTTTTGTGCTCCTCTTTGGTCTTGGTCTTTGGTCTGGGCCACAGTCTTGTCACTTGCAGTTTTATGGTTCTAGGCTTTGCTTTAGGATGGAGTTAGAGAGGCCTTGGGTCTGTGACTTATTCCCACTGCTGAGATAGGACGCACATGATGATCCATTTATTTGTGAAATGAAGGTTTTCATTCTGGCTTTTGGAAACAGGATTATTCACAGGCTGTGTGAACTTTTAGTACTCATCTCTCATCTTTTCAGGTGGTCTTTCCTTGGCTTACATAGTTTCCTTATGTCCTTACCAGTCCTGTACTGAATGAGTCCAAACCTTGTGTAGATCTCCTAGCTCTGTGCACGATCCTCTGGGACTCTGCCCCTGTGTTCTTGAATCCTCAGTTATGTTTCCTGGGGACGGGTTTATGAGCCTCTGCTTGTGTCATCTGTGTGTGCCGTGGCCTGGATCCTCTCACTATTTTTCATCCTTTGGAAAGTGACCTTTTGAATGGTATTTTTGAAAACCATTTAATTTTTTTCTTCATAATTTGGCTATCTAGTTTTTATTATATTACTTTGGCTATGTTTAAACCATTTTTTTTTGTTTTTTCAAGACAGGGTTTCTCTGTGTAGCTTTGCACCTTTTCCTAGAACTCGCTTGGTAGCCCAGGCAGGCCTCGAACTCACAGAGTTCCGCCTGCCTCTGCCTCCCGAGTGCTGGGATTAAAGGCATGTTCCTCCACCACCCGGCTAAACCTTTCATTCTTTACTGACTCTTAATTATGGAAATCTTCAGCATGTACAGTAACATAGAGGGGTGTAGTGTATCCTCATGTATTCAGCACCTCTATCGTCTTTGGACCATTGGTTTTAGCTGTTACCTTACCTTCCAGTCTTTTTTGTCATTCTCTTCACATTAGTGTGAGTGAGACCATATTATTGCAGTCTTAACTCTGTCAGTATGTATCTTTGTTACAGACCAAGACAGCAATCTTTTAAAAGTTCAACTGTCATTTTTTCACCACACTGAAACTCGTATTCTGCAATACCGCTTAACTATTCATCTTTGTTCTCAACTCCTTAGTTTTCCTTGCTTTTCTCCTTTTATGATTAAGTTGTTGGAAACAGGATCCTATTAATTTATTCCTTCTCGTTACCCTCCTGCTTAGCTGGTTTGCTATCACCTAGACTGGACACAGTAGTTAGGCCTGGTCTCTCCTCCCATAGCCACAGCTTTGTCCCGCCAAGGCTTTTGTTCTATTTGTTCCTTTGTAAACTCCAACTACTGTAGTATTCTTTATACTTTTTCTCTCCCTCCCCATCTGCTCTGGTCTCCTCTCTTTTTGACGGTCTCTCTATGTAGCCCACACTGACCTTGAACTCAACACACTCCTGTTTCCATCTCCTGAGTACAGAGGTCATAGACCTGAGGCAGCATGCTTGGCTTGTTAGTGCTGAAGCTTGAGCTTGTCCTGTGTGTGTGTGTGTGTGTGTGTGTGTGTGTGTGTGTGTATGTGTATTAATTCTATCTAAAACATCTTTTCTCTTTATTTTTACTTTTTAATAGCTTTTGTTTTCCTACTTTATTATTAGTTGTGCATGATTTATTTCTCACATCCAAATTTGAATGTATTATGGGAAGATGCATGCTTCATTTGAGTCTTTGCAACCTATAGAAGGTTGTTTAGGGTCTTTGTATGCTTCAGTGTAGCTTCTGTGTGGGGTTTGTGGGGGTTAGCTAAATTACTGCGTGTAAGATACCTAGAGCAAAATGGGATGTACGTGATCATATATTACATAATGTTTTATGTTTAGAAGACTTTCATTCAGTAGAGTGTGTAGTAGAGTGTGGAATATTGAATAAATGAATGAAATTGTACATTATTCATGTTTTCAAAGAAACTCATACAAATACGGGCTATATTATTTTTCAGCCAGCATTTGTTCATTTGTTCTTTTATTGATTCATGAAACAGGAGTTTAGTAGTTCCTATATGGTAGTCAGTGATGAAAGGTGTTGGAAAAATAATGACGAATCTTTGCGACAAGGAGTGTGCCCATATGCTGCTTACATAAGTATTAATTATTCACTGAAGTGAGCACTGTAAGAGAGTATGACAGAATAGAGCCAAAATTAGTTTTGCTGGTCAGAATAACAATTAGCCTTTCTTTAAAAAAATTATGTCTTTAATTTTTTTAAACTTTTCATTGATTCTTTGGATTTTGCATCATGCATCCAGGTCCCACTCATCTCCCTGTCCTGTCCCCTCGATTCTGCCCTCTGCCCTTGCAACCTCCCCCCAGAACAAACAAACTTTAAAACCAAAAACCAAAACCACAAAAAATTCTCATCATGGAAGCTATAGTGTGGCCCAGTGAGTCACACAGTAAACCCTTCAGTCCATACATCTTTCTTTACTTGTGTTCATTGCAATGAGTCATTGATCTGATTTGAGGCCTCTGGTTCTGCTCCACTGTCAATACTGGATCCTCACTGGAACTCCTTTTGGATATCCTGTTGTTGTCCTTTATCATGGAGATTCTGTAGCTTTGGATCTGCAGGTTCAGCCCCCTCCCATCCTCCAGCAGTTCATAGATGAGGTGGATGTTGGTATGGGCTAAACTCATAGCCCTGGTTCTGGGTTTGGGTGGTAGCTGGGTTGGTCAGCCTGCCAGCTTTCCCTCATTGTTGCCACATGGACGAGCTCTCCAGCACTGCCCCAGCTAGTTTACCCAGTGCAGCCGACAGCAAGAAGCAGGGCCAGTGCTCCCGCTCTCACCCCATCAGGCTGCCTCACCCACACTCACACCACCAGAGCCAGCTCTACTATTTTGCCCAGGCGAGGTGCAGGACCTGCTCTCCCAATTGCTGCAGTTGGTGAGGGCAGGACCAGCTCTTCCATTCTCACGTCCCAGAGGCTGGTTCTCCTGCCTGCCGCAGGTGGCAAGAGGTGGGTAGGGGAGGGCATATTTCCCTCACCCATGTCATCACATGACATGCTAGGGAGGGGAACGGGGGAGGGGGCACTCTCCTTCCAAAAAAACAACACGGCCGCACCACCACCACCCACTACCAACAGGGTCAGCTCTATTGTGCTGCCCAGGCAAAGTGCAGGAACCACCCTCCCAAGTGAGAGGCAGGGCCTGTTCTTCCTATTGCTGCAGCCAGTGAGAGGTGGGTGGCGCCAACTCTGTGCAGCCCTGTCCCCTTGGACTTCAGTGGTAATAGGAGCCACAGACTGTGACAGACGGTGACTGTAGCAGAGCCATGGACCCAGACATGGCCCCTGGCAGCAGCCCAGGCCCGGATGACCCCATGGCCCTGGGTGGCAGCATAGGCCACCCAGATCTGTATGGTCCAGCAAAGGCTCTGTACTTGGATACCAACATGGTTCTAGGTGGTAGCCCAGGTTCCTGATATCCGCATGGCCCCTGGTCCTACATGGGCCACAGACATCCATGCAGACTCCAGCTGCGGTTGGACCATGGACCCAGACATGGTACTCAGCAGACGGAGCCCAGATGTCACCATGGCCTTGATTGGCAGCACAGGTCACCCAGACTGGCATGGACTCAGGGACAGTGCCCTCAAACACCCACCTGACCCCAGGTGGTGACCCAGACCCCAGGTATCAGCATAGCCTTCGATGGCAGCAGGAACTTGGGACATCACCGAAGACCTGCCTACTACAGCACCATGGACTCAGACTTGGCTCCAGCTGCAGCCCGGACTCTATACTTTTAATTTTTAAGATTATAATATAATTGCATCATTTTCCCCTTCTATTGAAAATAAATCTGAAGAATTTTCTCTGGTATAACGAATTACTACACCTTTATTTTATTTTTAGAAAATAGACCATCAGTCATTGTATCTAGCACAATAACCTTGGCTGACGAGTTCATTCTTAACAGTCATAAAAGTTATCAGGGATTTTTCTACACAGGGTTTCTCTGTGCAGCCCTGGCTGGCCTGGAACTCACAGAGATCTGCCTGCCTCCGCCTCCCAAATGCTGGGATTAAAGGCATGCGTCACCACCCCCAGTATAAAAATCATCGTTTTTCTTTTTTTCATTAGTCGTATTTTTGACACCTCTGATACCAAGATTGAGATTCTTAAAGTATTGTTTTGGGGCTGGCTATGTTTATCTTTTTCTCTTTCGCCCGTTTTGAGTGTATGCACATCTTTACTTACCTGTGGGAACACGTGCATGTATATGCAAGCGCACATGGAGGCTGAGGTTGACGTTGAGAATTATCTGCGATTGCTCGTCTTTATCCGTTGAGATGAGATCTAGGTCAAACCCAGAGTTGGCTGATAGATGCTGGTCTTGCTCGTCAGCTTGCTCTCAGGATCCTGTCTCCACCTCTGAGTCTGGAATTATAGGCAGGCTGCCACATCCACGTCCATTGCTTGTGTGGCAGGTGCTTTAACGTTAAGCTATTCCCCCAACCCTGATAAGTTGTATTTAATGATTATATAAATTAACCACCATGTAAAAATGTCTGTAATTAGTACTTGTCTTAGAAGAGACTTTGAAATAGGGAGAATTCTTCATTTTTGTATTTATAGTTGTTTGTATTTCTTTATGTACTAGGTATTAACACCCCAAAAATTGGAATTGGTAAGAGCGCAAATGCAGCAAGAATTAGAAGCTCCAATGCGAGAGCGTTTCCGGACTCTTGACGAAGTAAGTCACTAAGTGGAATAACTGCATTCATCTTTATGCCTCAGGAAAAGCATCCTTCATTTACCCAGGCCCTCTGCATGGCAGTCCCTGCTGGTCTCCAAGGCCTGCTAGGATTGGACTCCATTATCTCTGTTCTCTTTGGTCTCCTGATGTTTGTGAAGTGGTGGGATTCAAGAGTCTGCATGGTGCTGTGTCTGCCTTGAATGTTTATTGGAACTCTTGGCTGACTCCTCAATCTCTTGCAGCTCTGCCCAAAGTGTTCCTTCTTCAGTAAGCCTACTGACTGCTCCTATCCCGTTCTCAGCTTACGGCTGCAGCCTGCATTCCTGCCACTCCCCACACCTGTGGAGGTTCCTCACCTCCCTGGTTTAGTTTTCCTGCCATCCCTGTTCTTTCTAATATGCTAATCTGCTGTATTATTGTGGCTTTTGTTTTAGCACTTTTAGAACGGAAAAACACAATAGAATGTTTTAGCACTTCCTTTCCTTTGCATGAAAGGACGCATTTGATTTTTGTCCACAAGTTCCTAAGAATGGTGCCTAGCATACAGCAGGTGAAATGACATTTACCACCTGAAGGACGGGTTTCACGTCATCTGGACTTGTTGTTTTCCTTGTTGCTTTGATACCCCGACAGAAGCTGCTTAGAGAAGGAGCAGTTTATTTTGGCTTACAGTTTGAGGGGACAGTCCATGATGGTGGGGGAGCGTGGGAGCAGGATCACCAGGCAGCTGGCCATGTGGAATCCTCAGCCAGGGAAGCAGAGGGTGAGGAAGGCTTGCGCTTAGCTCTTTCTCTTTTTTATTCAGCTGAGAACCCCAGCACATCGAGTAGTGCTGCCTTCACTGAAGGAGGGTCTCCCACCTCAGTTAGCCCCTCCCAGGTGTCCACAGAGGCTAGCCTGATCTCAGCAGTCTCCCAGAGGTGTGCTGGGAGCCTGTTCTCCCAGATCATCTACATCCTGCCGAGGACAGTCAGTGTTAACAGCACACAACCTCCAAAAGAAAAGTGCTCATTCTTTTGGGTTGACCAGATTTCTTACGTTACTAAACGTTTGATAAAGAGGATGGGAAAAGACTGCAGAGAAGCACATTAGGTATTGCCTACACATTTTATATGCTAGCTTTCGAAACATACATCAGTTCTTACACTCATAAATTATTACTATTTCCTCAAAGTGTAACCCTTCAGGAGATTGGAATGGTCCAAAATACTGCCATTGTGCAGGAAGACATGCAAAATTCTCTTTTGTAATGATCTATTTATCGATATCGCGATTTTTCAAATATGCCCCTAACAGCAATATATCCTAATGGTATCCTAATGGCTGTAGAATGAATTTTTTGTAAATAAAGTCACTCATACCAGGGCTAGGTATTCAAGTTAAATAAGAGCAGGTTTTAAAATCATAGTAAGTATGAAATGAATTATTGCAATATTTGAGTAAACCTTAAGTTAGTATACTAAGTATTCAAATAACCTTTTTTCTACTTTGAGGTTATCTAGTCTGACTTCTAGAGAGAGATAGCTTATACTTTGTTATACTTGTTAAAATCTATCTATATTTAGAAAGACCTGGCACATTCTTAACTACTATTAAGTGCAGAGAGGGTGACTTTTGTGATGCTGCACATTTGTTCCCACAGTGAGAATCAGTGAAGACAAAGCATTACTTGAATGATAATTCATTTTATTAGTCCATTCCAAGGAGCATACTAATCGATTTCATTTTTCTCTTTCCTTTTTCATGAGTAGTGTGTGTGTGTGTGTGTGTGTGTGTGTGTGTGTGTGTGTGTGTGTGTGTATGTTGTGCATGGCGTGTGTTTGTCCTTGCATGTGGGTGTGTGGACACATGTTGAAGTACATGTGTGGAGACCAAGGCTGATCAGGAGTCTTTGATTACTCTTCACCTTATTCACGAGGCAGCTTCTCTTACTTGAACCCGAAGTTCACTGACTCAGCTAGTCTAACTATGTGCTCCGTGGTCCTTTCTCTGCCTTCTAGTGGCTACCCTTGCTAGTGGACCCTCCGGTCCACCAAGCAGTTCCGTTGGTTGTGGGCGTCAGAACTCCTGAGCAGAAGCATCATAACTACTGAGCCAAGTCCCTTGCTCTCGTTGGCCTTTTCGTTTTCTTTCAGAATGGCTGTTAATAGAACCGAAAATTATACTATACAGTGGTTTTTGGAGAGGGCACACATTTCACTTATAGATTTTCCAAACATTGCAATCTCTTTGTAATTTAGGAAGTGGAAAGGTATAGAGCTGAATATAATAAGCTTCGCTATGAGCATACATTCCTCAAGTCAGAATTTGAGCACCAGAAGGAGGAGTTTACTCGTATTTCAGAAGAAGAAAAAATGAAATTTGAATCAGAGGTAAGTAATCAGTTACACTGCTATATCAGAGATTGTTGTAGTGAATACAGTTTTATGATTATATATTTTTATAAGTCCCAAGTTAGAGTTGATTGTGTAATTATGTGTTATTAATTAGCGAGGTACTTGTTTCCTTTCTTTGTCAGCAATTTCTTGTGAGTGTTTTCCTTTGGCTATTTATTTCATTTGTTTTATTTTGCCCTAGCCAGTGGAGATAGATACATCCACAGTCCCATGTTGCCATAGCTATGCAGAGACTTTTCTCTGTAAATGTCACTTACATGATGTCCTCTGGTTAGGAACAGTCACTTCCTAGGTAGCTCTAGTTTCAGCCTGTACCTTGTTGAGTTGCTGTAGATCACCCTCCTCAGTTCTTTTTGACAGCCCACCACAGTGTTCCTCCAGCACGTGTTCCTGTCTCATCCCTGGGGCTTGGGGCGGCCATCTCACTCACTTTGCAGTTCGTCTTCTGCTTTTCTAAAACTGTTTTTCCCGTTCACTCTCTGTCTTACTCTTGATGGTTTCATTATGATAAGAGGAGCAAGTAGCAATTCTGCTGTAACATTTATAAAACTAGGCTAACCTCATAGCAGTGCACTATATGTTATATAGAAAGACAACTGCATGTTATTTATATCATTGTGTTTATTTGGAATTGAAGTATTCTTACCTTCCTTTACCAGTTACCTGACACTTGTAGTGTCTCGGACATCTAAAAGAGCTAAGGCCACAGTATTTGGCTTAGACTGGTTTGTTCTTAGCAGTGAGCAGTTTCTTGATTGTTCCATAAATTATCTAAACTCTTGATCATTAAGTTCTTTAGCATAAGAGTCCTTGAACATTATGGGTATTTTAAACGGGTTTTTTCACCTAGTTGTTTATTTCTTTTCACAGTTTTAAATGCTTTATTTAGGTTTAATTTTGTTTTCATTTAGTAGTAAGATGAGAAAAGACTTATTTGAAATTAGGAAGCTGAGGTACAAGATAAGAAACCGTCAGAAATTTCACAAGGTCATCAGCTAGTACAACAATAGAAGTGGGTATGTTAACTTTCATGTTAGAGTTTTAGGTTTGAAATGATCAGTGATTTGAGGTTCTTACTCTGATTAGTGGCCACCTAACTTAGAGTTTTGATAGCTATGAAGAGACACCATGACCACGGCAACTTTTATAAAGGAAACATTTAATTGGGGTGGCTCACTTATTGTTTCAGAGGTTCAGTCCATTATCATCATGATGGGGAGCAGATGTGGTGCTGGAGGAGTAGCTGAGAGTCCTACATCTTACAGGCAACGGGAAGTCGACTGAGACACTGGGCGGTATCCTGAGCATAGGAAACCTCAAAGACCGCCCCACAGTGACACACTTCCTCCAACAAGGCCACACCTCCTAGTAGTGACACTCCCTGTGAGGTTATGGGGGCCAATCACATTCACACTACCACACCACCCAACAACTTCAATTTTGTTAGGAGTTCAGCTGATTGATACTATTTGTGGTTGTAAACGGCTCCACTCACATCTGTAAGTATGACAGATTATGACCGGTAAACAGTCTGTTGTGGAAAGTAGAGATGATTAGATTTCCAGTGTAGAATGAAGAGTCGGTGTGCTGCGAGCGACTGCTGAGCGAGGTTCTGTATGGCGGTGCTCTCGTTCAGACCTTGCCGGAAACCGGTCGGCGTGCTTACGTGGGGGGAAGTGTGTGTTCTTCAGAGTCTTGATTTTGTTGCCTTTCTTGTGTTTTATTTTTGATGAAAAGAAATGTTGGTCTAAAAATGTTATTTACTAATATATTTTTCTCTAATGAAAGACCAAATATTTAAAATTCAGATATTTGAAGGGATTGTTAGCGTCTAGAAAAATAAGACTTTCTGCTTTTCCCATTTCCCAGCTCTTCCCTTATTGAAATACTTCAGTTGCTGTACACAGAATAGTACTATATACAGTAAACTTGGTGTCACAGTTGTGGATTATGAAGCAGTAGATATGATTTCAGTGAGGGTTTATAGGGTTTATAGATTAACCAACTCAAAGAGAAAAGTGTTATTCTGACTAATGGTTTGGAGATGGTTTCAGTTTGTGATTGGTCAGCCCCTTTGCTTTAGGCCTATAGCTGCGCATCACTGTGGAGGCAACCCTGGCAGAACAAGTGGTCCACCTCATGGCTGGCAGGGAAAAGCAAGAGGAAGAGGAGGGCCTGAGGCCTCCTCGGAGGGCACATTTCCATGACAGGAAGGCCACCTGGTTATCTTCCGTCTTAAAAGTTTTGACCAACTCCACTCACTCCAGAGTGGGGGATAAGCCTTTCACACACTTGTCTTGGGGAAAGCAGTGCAGATCTAAACTGTAGCCGCTGGTAAGTGGCAGAAGAAAGGCTTGCAGCTAGCAGAACTTGCTTTATCAGACATAAGGTAAGGGAAAACTCGGGAGGGAGCTGCAGTTCTCTGAGTTCAAGGCCAGCCTGGCCAGCCTGGGCTACAAAGTGAGATTCTGTCTCAAAAAAAGAAAAAGTTAAAAGAAGAGGCTGGCTGCCTCACGTAAAAGTTCGAGGTGAGGCGCAGTGCTGACACGTGGCTGCAGCAGTGTGTTTAGAGGTCTGCCTAGCTGCAGCAGTGTTTAGAGGTCTGCCTAGCTGCAGCAGTGTTTAGAGGCCTGCCTAGCTGCAGCAGTGTGTTTAGAGGTCTGCCTAGCTGCAGCAGTGTGTTTAGGGGTCTGCCTACCTGCAGCATGTGTTTAGGGGTCTGCCTAGCTGCAGCAGTGTTTAGGGGTCTGCCTAGCTGCAGTAGTGTGTTTAGAGGTCTGCCTAGCTGCAGCAGTGTTTAGGGGCCTGCCTAGCTGCAGTAGTGTGTTTAGAGGTCTGCCTAGCTGCAGCAGTGTGTTTAGAGGTCTGCCTAGCTGCAGCATGTGTTTAGGGGCCTGCCTAGCTGCAGCAGTGTTTAGAGGTCTGCCTGGCTGCAGCATGTGTTTAGAGGTCTGCCTAGCAGCAGCAGTGTTTAGAGGTCTGCCTAGCTGCAGCAGTGTTTAGAGGCCTGCCTAGCAGCAGCAGTGGTTAGAGGTCTGCCTAGTTGCAGCAGTGTTTAGAGGTCTGCCTAGCTGCAGCATGTGTTTAGAGGCCTGCCTAGTTGCAGCAGTGTTTAGGGGTCTGCCTAGCTGCAGCAGTGTGTTTAGGGGCCTGCCTAGCTGCAGCAGTGTGTTTAGGGGTCTGCCTAGCTGCAGCAGTGTGTTTAGGGGTCTGCCTAGCTGCAGCAGTGTTTAGGGGTCTGCCTAGCTGCAGCAGTGTTTAGAGGCCTGCCTAGCAGCAGCAGTGTTTAGAGGTCTGCCTAGTTGCAGCAGTGTGTTTAGAGGTCTGCCTAGCTGAAATGATGACGGCGGCTGCAGCAAACCACAGACTTTTACAGAAGTGAAACTTCCTTCTGTTGGAGGAAGATGCTGTTTAACACCTTAAAGAGAAACAGTGCCGGGCATCAAAGAGCAAACCTACTTTCTAGTCTGGGGCCGATGAAGCTGGGGAAGTTAAGTAGAAGCCTGTGTTCATTTACCCACCTGAAAATCCTAAGGCCCTTAAGGATTAGGCTGAAATCTGTTCTGTCTGTGCTCTGTAAGAGGAACACTGAAACTTAGATGGCAACATTACCAGTTTATGACATGTTTTCCTGAGTGTTTCAAGCTTGTTATTGAGACCACTGGTCAGGTAAAAGGATTCCCTTTATATCTTATAGTCATCCTTGTTAATGAAATATCCATTTTGTAGCCTATGGAGCGAGGAATGGTTTTAGTTTTCAAGTCATATTATTTAGGAAATATCGGCCACAAAGCTATTCTTCCCATAGGTAATTCGTGTGGTAAATCTGGGCAGAATAAATCAGAAACCGTATGGAAATAATTCTCTCTTTTAGTGCCATTAAGAACATTTGTGATTCACAGGAGGAGATTAAAATAGTAACATTAACAAGAGTTTGGGAGAAGTTAATTCCAGTCCTCATGGATGACTTTGAGTGTTTGAAGACTTCAGTGGACATAGTACCTGCAGAGGTGCCATAATTAGTAAGAGTGCTCAAAATAGAACCTGAAGGTGTGACTTAATCTTTCCAGTTTCACACTAAAACTTGAGTAGCTGAAGAACTGCTTCTTATGTAAGTAAACATGGTTACCGCCCCTCTGTGGTAGGGACTGAACCTCTTGCAAGGTAGATTGACACTGCTACTGGGTCACAACTTCAGTCCCCAGAAGTGGTTCCTGAAATGGAATGGGTCTCATGGCAGTAAAGGGTTTACAGTGTTGTATCAGCTAAGTTGGTAAAACAGTGGCAAGATATGAGAGGATGACTCCAACTTGAAAGATCTACTGTGGGTAAGAGGCTGTCAGATAGCATGACATGTATATATATAATCAATATAGAAATGTCTTTCATGAAAGGAGTCAGTTGATGTGGCTAACATAATTATTGCCCCGGTTTAAGAAATCACCACAGCCCCCAACCATTAGTAGTCTGCATCCTAATCAGGCAGCAGCCATTAACATTGATGTAATACCTTCTGAAGAATTAAGATTCACTTAAGGGTGATTGTTGGCAGTTTTTAGCAATGTAGTATGTTTTCAGTAACACACACACACACACACACACACACACACACACACACACACTCACATTAGTTTTTAAAAAGATAGAATACTATTGTACCCTGGATAGACTATGGTAGAATAGAATTTTTTTTTGTTGATGTTGGCAGTTTTTGCTTGTTTGAGACAGGATTTCTATGTATAGTCCTGGCTGTCCTGAAACTCACTCTGTAGACCAGGCTGGCCTCTGAACTCACAGATCTGCTTATCAGTATTAAGGGCAGGTGCTGATTTTTTTTTTTCTGTGTAATGAGAAACAAAAAATAATTGTGAGACCTGCTTTATTGGAATAATTTGCTTTACTTCACCATCCTGAAACTGAATTTAATACATATTTTATTAAAGCCTCATGCAATACTGTGTTTTTAATCTATACAG